CGCACCACGCCAACGACGTAAGTCTACTCACCCGCACACACCCGCCCCCTCGCACCCTCGCACCCTCGCGAACCACCGCCTTGCGCAGGCGCACGCCTTCGACACGCACCACGGCATCGACGTGAGTCTACTCACCCGCACACACCCGCCCCCTCACACACTCGCGCACCACCACCTGGCGCAGGCGCACGCCTTCTACACGCACCACGCCAACGACGTAAGTCTACTCACCCGCACACACCTTCTACACGCACCACGCCAACGACGTGAGTCTACTCACCCGCACACACCTTCTACACGCACCACGCCAACGACGTGAGTCTACTCACCCGCACACACCTTCTACACGCACCACGCCAACGACGTAAGTCTACTCACCCGCACACACCCGCCCCTCGCACCCTCGCACCCTCGCGCACCACCGCCTGGCGCAGACGCACGCCTTCTACACGCACCACGCCAACGACGTAAGTCTACTCACCCGCACACACCCGCCCCCTCGCACCCTCGCACCCTCGCGCACCACCGCCTGGCGCAGGCGCACGCCTTCTACACGCACCACGGCAACGACGTGAGTCTACTCACCCGCACACACCCGCCCCCTCACACCCTCGCGCACCACCACCTGACGCAGGCGCACGCCTTCTACACGCACCACGCCAACGACGTAAGTCTACTCACCCGCACACACCCGCCCCCTCGCACCCTCGCACCGTCGCGCACCACCGCCTGGCGCAGGCGCACGCCTTCTACACGCACCACGCCAACGACGTGAGTCTACTCACCCGCACACACCCGCCCCCTCACACCCTCGCGCACCACCACCTGGCGCAGGCGCACGCCTTCTACACGCACCACGCCAACGACGTAAGTCTACTCACCCGCACACACCCGCCCCCTCGCACCCTCGCACCCTCGCGCACCACCGCCTGGCGCAGGCGCACGCCTTCTACACGCACCACGCCAACGACGTAAGTCTACTCACCCGCACACACCCGCCCCCTCGCACCCTCGCACCCTCGCGCACCACCGCCTGGCGCAGGCGCACGCCTTCTACACGCACCACGCCAACGACGTAAGTCTACTCACCCGCACACACCCGCCCCCTCGCACCCTCGCGCACCACCGCCTGGCGCAGGCGCACGCCTTCTACACGCACCACGCCAACGACGTGAGTCTACTCACCCGCACACACCCGCCCCCTCACACCCTCGCGCACCACCACCTGGCGCAGGCGCACGCCTTCTACACGCACCACGCCAACGACGTAAGTCTACTCACCCGCACACACCCGCCCCCTCGCACCCTCGCACCCTCGCGCACCACCGCCTGGCGCAGGCGCACGCCTTCTACACGCACCACGGCAACGACGTGAGTCTACTCACCCGCACACACCCGCCCCCTCACACCCTCGCGCACCACCACCTGGCGCAGGCGCACGCCTTCTACACGCACCACGCCAACGACGTAAGTCTACTCACCCGCACACACCCGCCCCCTCGCACCCTCGCACCCTCGCGCACCACCGCCTGGCGCAGGCGCACGCCTTCTACACGCACCACGCCAACGACGTAAGTCTACTCACCCGCACACACCCGCCCCCTCGCACCCTCGCACCCTCGCGCACCACCGCCTGGCGCAGGCGCACGCCTTCTACACGCACCACGCCAACGACGTAAGTCTACTCACCCGCACACACCCGCCCCCTCGCACCCTCGCACCCTCGCGCACCACCGCCTTGCGCAGGCGCACGCCTTCTACACGCACCACGCCAACGACGTAAGTCTACTCACCCGCACACACCTTCTACACGCACCACGCCAACGACGTGAGTCTACTCACCCGCACACACCTTCTACACGCACCACGCCAACGACGTGAGTCTACTCACCCGCACACACCTTCTACACGCACCACGCCAACGACGTGAGTCTACTCACCCGCACACACCCGCCCCTCGCACCCTCGCACCCTCGCGCACCACCGCCTGGCGCAGGCGCACGCCTTCTACACGCACCACGCCAACGACGTAAGTCTACTCACCCGCACACACCCGCCCCTCGCACCCTCGCACCCTCGCGCACCACCGCCTGGCGCAGACGCACGCCTTCTACACGCACCACGCCAACGACGTAAGTCTACTCACCCGCACACACCCGCCCCCTCGCACCCTCGCACCCTCGCGCACCACCGCCTGGCGCAGGCGCACGCCTTCTACACGCACCACGGCAACGACGTGAGTCTACTCACCCGCACACACCCGCCCCCTCACACCCTCGCGCACCACCACCTGGCGCAGGCGCACGCCTTCTACACGCACCACGCCAACGACGTAAGTCTACTCACCCGCACACACCCGCCCCCTCGCACCCTCGCACCGTCGCGCACCACCGCCTGGCGCAGGCGCACGCCTTCTACACGCACCACGCCAACGATGTGAGTCTACTCACCCGCACACACCCGCCCCCTCACACCCTCGCGCACCACCACCTGGCGCAGGCGCACGCCTTCTACACGCACCACGCCAACGACGTAAGTCTACTCACCCGCACACACCCGCCCCCTCGCACCCTCGCACCCTCGCGCACCACCGCCTGGCGCAGGCGCACGCCTTCTACACGCACCACGCCAACGACGTAAGTCTACTCACCCGCACACACCCGCCCCCTCGCACCCTCGCACCGTCGCGCACCACCGCCTGGCGCAGGCGCACGCCTTCTACACGCACCACGCCAACGACGTGAGTCTACTCACCCGCACACACCCGCCCCCTCACACCCTCGCGCACCACCACCTGGCGCAGGCGCACGCCTTCTACACGCACCACGCCAACGACGTAAGTCTACTCACCCGCACACACCCGCCCCCTCGCACCCTCGCACCCTCGCGCACCACCGCCTGGCGCAGGCGCACGCCTTCTACACGCACCACGCCAACGACGTAAGTCTACTCACCCGCACACACCCGCCCCCTCGCACCCTCGCACCCTCGCGCACCACCGCCTGGCGCAGGCGCACGCCTTCTACACGCACCACGCCAACGACGTAAGTCTACTCACCCGCACACACCCGCCCCCTCGCACCCTCGCACCCTCGCGCACCACCGCCTGGCGCAGGCGCACGCCTTCTACACGCACCACGCCAACGACGTAAGTCTACTCACCCGCACACACCCGCCCCCTCGCACCCTCGCACCCTCGCGCACCACCGCCTGGCGCAGGCGCACGCCTTCTACACGCACCACGCCAACGACGTAAGTCTACTCACCCGCACACACCCGCCCCCTCGCACCCTCGCGCACCACCGCCTGGCGCAGGCGCACGCCTTCTACACGCACCACGCCAACGACGTGAGTCTACTCACCCGCACATACCCGCCCCCTCACATCCTTGTCTCCTTTCACTTCGCTCCCTTTCTCCGTTTCATTTAACTATTTATACCTTTTTTATTAAAAAAAAAAAAACTTTTAATGCTATTAACATTACTTATATTACTTCCACGTATATTACTGAGCTCATAAAGGTATAAATCATCGTTTCTTTGTCTCGTGACACAATATGTTGCATGATTTAGAGAACGGGAGAACTTTTTTACTGGAAACGAGGCATTCCATCTTGGTACTCATGGGTGGCAACGTATCTGCATTTGATTTCGATCCCTGATCGGGGACAAATTTAAAGATGTCCATGGGCCACCGCATCCACTTACCATCGGGTGTACTGTGTGTGCAGAGCGCGGAGCACGTGACGTACGCGTACAAGTACGGCACGTTCGAGAAGCTGGTGGAGCTGGGTGCGTGGCACGCGCGGCTCGCGGGCTGCGCCTGGGCGGCGCTGCTGCCGCGCGAGCGCGCGCTGCTGGCGCTGCAGCTGCCCGCGCCCCCCGCACCCCCCGCCCTGCTGCCGGACCTGCCCGAGCACCTCACGTGAGTCGCACAGTACTGGCGCTGCAGCTGCCCGCGCCCCCCGCACCCCCCGCCCTGCTGCCGGACCTGCCCGAGCACCTCACGTGAGTCGCACAGTACTGGCGCTGCAGCTGCCCGCGCCCCCCGCACCCCCCGCCCTGCTGCCGGACCTGCCCGAGCACCTCACGTGAGTCGCACAGTACTGGCGCTGCAGCTGCCCGCGCCCCCCGCACCCCCCGCCCTGCTGCCGGACCTGCCCGAGCACCTCACGTGAGTCGCACAGTACTGGCGCTGCAGCTGCCCGCACCCCCCGCCCTGCTGCCGGACCTGCCCGAGCACCTCACGTGAGTCGCACAGTACTGGCGCTGCAGCTGCCCGCGCCCCCCGCACCCCCCGCCCTGCTGCCGGACCTGCCCGAGCACCTCACGTGAGTCGCACAGTACTGGCGCTGCAGCTGCCCGCACCCCCCGCCCTGCTGCCGGACCTGCCCGAGCACCTCACGTGAGTCGCACAGTACTGGCGCTGCAGCTGCCCGCGCCCCCCGCACCCCCCGCCCTGCTGCCGGACCTGCCCGAGCACCTCACGTGAGTCGCACAGTACTGGCGCTGCAGCTGCCCGCGCCCCCCGCACCCCCCGCCCTGCTGCCGGACCTGCCCGAGCACCTCACGTGAGTCGCACAGTACTGGCGCTGCAGCTGCCCGCACCCCCCGCCCTGCTGCCGGACCTGCCCGAGCACCTCACGTGAGTCGCACAGTACTGGCGCTGCAGCTGCCCGCGCCCCCCGCACCCCCCGCCCTGCTGCCGGACCTGCCCGAGCACCTCACGTGAGTCGCACAGTACTGGCGCTGCAGCTGCCCGCACCCCCCGCCCTGCTGCCGGACCTGCCCGAGCACCTCACGTGAGTCGCACAGTACTGGCGCTGCAGCTGCAAAGAACAATGGCGAACTCCCAAACATATTACATTCGTTGATATTTTTTTCTTGCATCTACATATGACAAATATGTAAAAATACAGAGATTGAACTCCTGAACAATTTCGTCTTCAGTCATGTAGGGGCTGCGACGGAACCCCCACGTTTGATCGTTTGACAGTAGTTAAGTCCAGTTTTTCGCTCCGTATCGTTCGGTCGCATTTACTATTTGCTCCGATTGGTGCAACCGGTGCAATTTTAGCCAGTGCTTCTCAAACTGTTCATTATCTAAGCTTATAAGTTGTTAATACCTGTCACAATGGACACTCACAATTGTGGTGCATGTGGGGAGTTGTTATCAGAAGGTCCTCACTGTACTGTATGCAATCAAGAACTAAATTTTCACTGTGCTGGAATAACTGAAGCTGGATATCGCAAGCTGGGAGATAGGAAGTCTACCTGGCGATGTGTCAAGTGTAAACAAACTCACTCTATCCAGCCTCCTTTATCACCAAAGGTCGAATCCGATGCACTAATACTTAAGGAGATAAGAGCTCTCTCTGATAAACTGGCGCCATTAGAATGTCTTAAAGATGAAGTCATTGCCTTGAGAACTGAATTTGCTGATCTTAAATCTTCACTAAATAATACTAACGTGGCGCTAAAAGAATTTAATAACAAAATTAAGGACTTCGAACAGCGTCTAGTACAGATCGAGAAAGTGCAAAAACATGCTTACCTAATTCAGACTCGGTTAGAAAAACTGGAGCAGGAGTCGAACTCTGCGGAGCAATGGTCAAGAATGAATAATGTTGAAATAAAGGGAGTACCTCAGGCAACCGGTGAAAATTTGTTTGAAATCATATCCAAAATTGGGTCTAAGATACAATATCCGATTACACAGACTCAGGTAAATTTCGTTACAAGAGTACCAACCCGTGAGAAAGAGCATAACAAACCGATAATAATCTGTTTCTGCAATCGATATGTGAAGGAAGATTTTGTGGCGGCAGCCAGATATGCATCGAAAACTAGTCATCTCACATCAGGCAACATGGGATTTGTGGGCAATAATAGGATTTATATCAATGACCACCTAACCATGCACAATAAGACCTTACTTTCTAAAACTAAAAAGGCAGCGGTTGAAATGAATTTTCGTTATGTCTGGGTCAAGCATGCCAAGATACATGTAAGAAAGACCGATACGTCGCATATAATTATGGTGAAGTCAGAAAGAGACCTTACAAAAATAGTGTGATGTTAAACTTATTATCTCTTTGTTCTATTACTACCATTATTCATAATTTGTTTTTGTATTACTCGAAACTTGTAACATTGCAGTTTGAGATCCATGCGCTGTCGCGGCGTGTTAACGTATTCATTTTGTTGTGCAATTGCGTATTAATTTACATTATAATTTATAAACATCTTACCAATGTGGATAAACTATTTTTAAATCTTATTACATATAACTGGGTTCGCTTTTGGTCTATTAATTTACTATCAAATATGAAAGACGTTTGTTTGTTGATTTTCTGTACTATATATACTATTGATTTTACTTATTGGTCATTGGTCGTGGTCGTAAGCATTCGAGAATCGCGTGTTGCATATTACGGCGCATTGTTCTACGTTTATGAATTATCTACCCGCTTTTATATAGCATTTTTGTTCTTTGTTTTAAATGTTCCTTTTATTTTACTATTTAATTTACTTTTATTGAATTGCTGTATTGTGATAAGATATTTAGTCATAGTTAAGCTCAATCACGGAATCGATTAAAATATATTACCAAAATGTACGCGGTTTACGAACAAAAACACTTAACTTATTTAGGAACGTATGTTTAAATTCGTATGATATTATTATATTCACCGAAACTTGGTTGGTCGATAGTATACATAACAGTGAATTATTTGATGACCGATATTTAGTATGGAGGCGGGATCGCAATTATTGTAGCACGTCACAAACGCGGGGGGGTGGTGTACTAATTGCAGTGAGGAATGATCTTTCGGTAGTGGAGAGGGGTGACTGGCGTAGTTCAGCGGAAGATATTTGGGTCTCTATTTTGCTAAAAAGATCCAGGCCGCCAGTGACATACAATATAAACATTTGTGCGCTTTACCTGTGTAGAGAAAATATCGGTAACTCATATAATACCCAATTGCTAAATTTCACACAAAATATTAATACCATAATTCTGTCTAATCCGTGCGACAAATTCATAATCGTAGGTGATTTCAATTTTGGTAGTCAAGTAGATTGGAATGTTTGCAGTGATAGTGGCGAGTTGTTACCAACCAATCACTCCTGTCAATATATTTCTGATTTCCTTGATTCTGTTAACACCTGTAGCTTATCTCAGTATAATTGTATACGTAACATAAATGGGAGACTACTTGACTTGGTTTTCTCTAATGACCTTGTAGATGTTAAGGAATGCTATGAACCATTAGCAATGCCCCCAGATATGCACCATAAGCCTTTGGTTATAAAGGCTGATTTTGTTGAATTACATAAACTAGATGATAAAAAGAAAAACAATTATCTCTTTCACAAAGGTGATTACGTGGCTATTAGTTCAGCTCTTGACCAGGTAAACTGGTATGAACTTTTGGGGAATGACTCTCCAGACAATGTGGTTACTCTCTTTTATAATAAATTGTATGAACTTAGGGAACAGTTTATTCCCATAAAATCCACTAGACGCTCGTCACACCCTCCATGGTATAATTCTGCGCTACTAAAGGTCTTAAAAGAAAAACACAAGTATCATCGTAAGTTTAAGTTATATGGTAATTTATCCGACTACCAATCTTTTTCACTATTACGTAAAAGGGCTAACCAGTTAGAGCGAGTCTGCTTTGAATCCTATATTGATAAAATCGAATCTTCCATAACTAGTAACCCAAAAACTTTCTGGTCTTTTATAAAAAGTAGGAATAATGCGTCTACTACTCCTAATGTAATGTATTATGAGGAATCTTCTGAAAACACTGGTGAAGGTATTAGTGACTTATTCGCTAAATATTTTAGTACTACTTTCGTTGAACCAGAATTGGAAACTTCTGATTCTAAATTATTTCCCATAACTGATTACAGTATTAATAGTATTAGCTCAATACACGTCTCAGATAAAGGTATCTTGAAGCTATTACAAGGCCTCGACATCTCTAAATCTGGTGGCCCCGACCATATACCACCAATATTTATCATAAATTGTGCGAAAAGCTTAGTCAAACCCATTAGTATACTTTTTAAGCGGTCATTAACAGAAGGAATAGTTCCACAAGTTTGGAAATCTGCCTTCATAACACCGGTATTTAAAAAAGGCGACAAGTCGAATGTCGGAAATTATCGTCCCATCTCGAAGTTATGCTTGTTTTCTAAAGTTCTTGAAAGAATCGTTTATAATGAAGTCTATTATGCAGTACAAAATTATTTGGGTGATGAACAACATGGGTTTCTTCGAAGACGTTCAACTACTTCTAATCTCATCACGGCTAATGAGTACATCACTAAAGGTATGGAGCAGCGTGCACAGGTAGACGTAATTTACACAGATTACAGCAAGTGCTTTGATCGTATTAATCATCGTGTTCTTTTACAAAAGTTGTTAGCTTCGGGAATACACGGTGACTTGTATAGGTGGTTTTGTTCGTATATAGAGAATCGGACGCAGGCTGTTGTTTTGCGTGGTTACATGTCTGGTTGGTGCTCAATCCCATCTGGTGTTCCTCAGGGCTCATTACTTGGCCCCCTATTATTCACAATATTTATTGCCGATATTAAGTCATGTTTTAAAAATTCTCTCATACTACTTTACGCCGATGACATGAAAATTCTTAAAACTATTCATAATCTAACAGATGTTAAACAATTTCAAGAAGACCTAAACAGGTTCTCTGATTACTGTAAACTCAATAAGCTTCAATTGAATATCTCCAAATGTTCTCATATAACATTCACACGACAAAGATCTAGTATTGGGTTCGGTTATACTCTTCATAATCAGACTATCAGCAGGGTAAATCATATTCATGATCTCGGCGTAATACATGATAATAAATTCATATTTGACAAACACATTGAATATATTGTCAACAAAGCATCCAAGGCTCTTGGTTTCATTTTAAGAACTTCATCCTGCTTCCGCTCTCTTAAAGCTGTTAAGATTTTGTATTGCTCATATGTGCGAAGCCATTTAGAATATGCATCTCAAGTATGGAACCCACAGTATAAGGTTTACATATCTCGTATTGAAAGTATACAAAAAAAATTTCTGAGATACCTCGACTTCAAGGCACAAATAAATTCAGCCAATTATCTAGAAAGATGTAAGAGATATCATTTTTTACCGTTGGAATATAGACGTAAAGTCAATGATATTTGTTTCTTAGTTAATATTGTAAATGGATCTATTGATTCTTCTGAGCTACTTACTCACATAATGATTCGAACCGATTTAATGAGATTTAGACAGCGACCCCTGCTATATATACCTCTTGCTTCAACGAATTATAGAAGAAATTCCTTCTTTCTGCGTAGCGCAATGGAATTTAATAAACTTTCATCTGTAGTAGATATTGACCTATTTTCTACTAGTTCTAAATTTGTAAAAAAAGTGATGAACAGAGAATTTTTCACTCACAGCCGCGACTAGCATGACTCATGTTGCAACCTCTTTGGTCTCACGGAAAGTTGAACTATGCGGTTTATTTGTAATTGTTTTTGCCTATTTTTTGCTTATGTTATTTTTTTTTGTAAGTAGTTTAAGTAATCCCTAGAGTATTTTAAATTTGTATAAAGTCGGATGAAAGTAATGTGTGGAGGCTTGTAATTAGCAATTCTTATCACCACTTTGTTACTACCGAAGATATTAGTCTGTAAGCCTTCCTAAAATAAATAAATAAATAAAAATAAATAAATAAATTAATAGTAAATGATAGTCAATACTGGGAAGTTGATAATTAATAGTTTAAAAAATTACGCAATGTGACGCATCAACATATTGTAAAGCAGGTGTACTTTAAAGGATTATTATCATTTGATACTAAAAATCTATGAAAAGGCAAATTCCGAATGAAATTAGGACATAGCTTAAAGGACAAGCATCTAAGCCAAAAATCTCAATATAAAAACGCTATCTGCCATATTAGATTCCGTCATGACGTCACTACTATATCTATACTATAATAATACTATAATATAATAAAGCGGAAGAGTTTTTTTGTTTTTTTGTTTTTATTCGGTATATTCGGTTTTTTACTGGGCAGATGGGCAGCAGCCATCTCCTGATTTGTTTCCCTCTATCGCCGCTTACGACACCCAAGTGTTGATATGGGGTAGTGGATATTCTTACACCACCACTACACGGTATTAAGATATTACGGCTTTACGATACTGACGGGATGGTATTGGTTCTAAGTATGAGGTAGTGGAGTCTCTTACCGTTCTTTCGTCGCTTCATGGCATTATCAAGATAACTATTAGTTCAACAATTTACTCGATCGTTCGAATAATAATAATAAGTCTAATTTTATTATCTTTATATTTTTAGACATTTATTAAAGTAACTAGCAGTGCCCGCGGCGTAGCTCGCGTATATAGGTTTTACTTAAAGATTAGGTAAGAGAATATTAAACGATTTATATCATTACTGTATCAATAAGTGGTAACACAATAAATCGTTATACTCAAAGTTCTAAGACGTTTATGATAGAGCTTCTGTGTAAACGACGGGGGCTACTAACGCTGGAAAAAGACTCAACCAACGCCTGGACAAATTCGTACCTATACTTCGTACCCATACTTTAGAATATTTATCATAACTTTTGATGGAATGAACTGATTTTAATAAAATATACTAAAGGTAACACGAAGATACACTTTATAATTTCCTTAACGATTCTTTTAATTTAGTACTTTATACGTGATACGTTAACAAACAGACAGACAGAAAATTCTAAAAATGGTATAAATGTATTTAATTACTTATTTTTAATACCTCTCAATCACTTATTACAAAAATATAAAATATACAAATGTCTGCTATTTACATTTTATTATATGTATAGATAAGAAAATAAAAATATACAAAAATATTTATTCTTCATGATCCTTTATCACTCATGTGTAACGTCAATGTCACGCCTATGCCGATAGTTGTTGGGAGTACTACGCGCGAAGTTGTTGACTAGTATGTTTACCTACGATAAATAGTCCTAGGTAAGTCCAATTTCGACCTAAGGTCAATCCAACGGATTCAACTCGGCTGAGCAGCGTTTGCATGTGAACCAAACCATTCGTGGAAACGATGTAACATACATAAGTGCTTCGATGGTGATATAAATCTTAAGATTTTTTATCCATTTCTTGGTATTTTATCGTCATTAAGTATGCGCTGGATTAAGCAGTCGCCAAAAACTTTGCAATGTGACAGATTAGTATATTAAGAGGAGTTTTGTGAATAAAATATCACATATCAGACTAGGCTGTATGGTATAACACCTTTGCCTGTCTTAATTGACGAATCGTAACAACTACAACAACTAGTTAATCTAGTTTTAAATGATATATGATGATTTTTTTTTCCAGACTTCGTTAGGCCATAAGCTTGTTTAGATAACAGTAAATTATTTTATGTACCCTTAACCGACGAGCGTGTATGCGTAGATATATGGATGTAAAAGAGGCGAGAGAGGTGTGTCAGGATCGCGCCAAATGGAAGTCCGTAGTCTCTGCCTACCCCTCTGGGTGACAGGCGTGAGTGTTTATGTATGTATATGTATGATATATGTAATTTTTTTTAAATACTAGTATTGCTATTAAACATTACTAATATTCCCTTTAACCACTTCTGGTACGCTTAAAACACTTGTGTTAGAAGTGGTTCACGACAGTAGTCGAATGGTCGATTCGAACTCACGACCTTTCGAATTCGCGGTCCGTGCCCTGCCATTAGGCTACTGACGTTTAAATGTACTGTAATGGTGACATACATTTATCACCATCGCAGATATTCTCTCTACATCCCTACGTTTACTTAGACGCTTAATAATTCCGTCAACAATTTTTTCGCCATTGCATTCCAGGCGGTTGGCGTGTCCCTGGAGTCTCAAACTACTCACAAAAACAATAACCTATTGTGAGACAAAGGAGCTTGCAGTTTAAGTCATGCTATTGCAAATGTAAATGTACGGTGATAAAATTGACAGTGACAACCGCGACCTGAGGGCGATAGTGAGTTGGGATCCGCCGCAGAGCGTGGATGCGGAGGTGCGGTCGCGCACGTTCTCGCAGGAAGTTGCGTACGTGCGGCTCAAGGATGCGCTGCTGCGCGCCACCGCGCTCTGCGGCGAGGCTGCCACCGCCAGTCGCGACACGCTGCCACAGCTGCTGCAGCGCCTAGACACTTGCATACACACGTTCAGCGAAGCGATGCAGCGCTGCAGGCACGAGTACAGCAAGAGAGAGAAGATTTCTATATCAACGCCTCTGCCATCTAGGATATTTGGTAAGTGCTTATAGTACTTATTTAAAAAAGTAGATCATACATTTATAAGTATATTAGTAAAACATAGGGATTATATACTCTTTATACAAGTAATGTTTACGGCTCATCTCACATAATCATCATCATCATTACAGCCTTTCATAAGTCCACTGCTGAACATAGGCCTCCCCCAAGGAATACCACAAAGCACGGTCCTGAGCCACCTGCATCCATCGACTTCCTGCATGTCTTACCAGGTCGTCACTCCATCTAGTGGGAGGTCGCTCTACACTTCGTCTACCGGTACGAGGCTGCCACTCAAGAACCTTTCTCACATGGAGTATAGAATATACTCGTAGATAAAATATTACCCGCTCGCCGCATACTGTTGACTGTCCAAACTTGTTTGGGGCCGATTGAAAATTAGCGATGCAAACTAGCAGTTTATGCTGAAACGGTTCTTTCAACCACTTTAGCATTACACACGATTTTTGTTTTAATGTGTGTACGTGTGTGTGTGTGTGTGTGTGTTTGCATACACATATAATACGTGTACTTAATTATTTTCCTTTTTTTTCTTTAATTGTAATGTGTCATGTGTGTAGATGTAAATGTTAGAATAAATGTCTTTATGTTTTTACTTAAGAATGCTTAGAGCACCGTGTAATGGTGATGTAAGAATATCCACTACCTTATATCGTCACGTGGGTGTCTGTAGGAGATGGGCAGCAGTGTCTTCCTAATAATGACTAAAAATAAAAAACTATGGTTGCCAACCCGATTGCCAAGCGTGGATAGTTACAAGGCAGTCTTTGGGGGGCCTATGTTCAGCAGTGGACCTTATTAGGCTGTAACGGTAACTGTAAATGTGAATGGGTCAAGCAGCCACTTAGGTAACCACCATCAGGTGGACTGTGTGCAAAAGCGTAGTGTACCTATGTCGGGCAATGTGTGAGCGGTTGAGCGGTGTGCGCAGCGCTGGTGGGCAGTGCGGTGCCGTACGGCGCGCTGTACGCGGCCGCGCTGCGCGTGGCGCGCGCCGTGTGCACGCGGGGCGGCGCGGGGAGCGGGGCGGCGGGCGGCGTGGGCAGCGGGGCGGCGGGCGGCGCGGGCAGCGGGGCGGTGAGCGACGTGGTGCAGGCGCTGCGGCGGGAGCTGCGGGACGCGCGGGGGCCGCTGGCGGCCGGCGCGCCCGCGACCGCCTGGCAGCTGCGTGACTCCCTCGAGCACCTCGCCAACTTCCTAGAGGTAACAGACACACGCACACATGCGCGCACATACACACACACAATCACACATGCGCGCACATACACACACACACAAACACACACACACACACACACACACAAACATACACACACACACACACACATTACGCCAACATATACATTCGGCTTGCGGTCAAGCACTGACTTATAATAAGTAAAAAAGCTAGACTAAACCTATGGACTTCCATTTATAACGATCGTGACACTCCTCTCTTGCCTCCTTCAAAACCAAGTAATAGCATACATACTCGCGCGTGAGCCGCTCTTGCTCTGCAGGTATCACCTACTAAGCAAGTACGACTCACGTAGGAGTGCACGTGCTGTACATTTCTCAGTACGCGAGTAACCCGGGTGCAGTCTCCGCCCGCCAAAATTGAAATTAACAATTTATTAGTGAATTGTTAATTCCAATTGTTAATTTCTTATTTACCACAAGCTCTAAAATGAAGGAAATCATCGTGTAGAAACCTAAAGAAATAAAAAAAAATCTTTTGAAACATGTAAAGCCACCACACGCATTAAAATGGGCCACTGCGATGGACATTTAATTAGCCTAAAACCCTCTCAGAAATGTAACTACAAGCCTGCTCTCGTTTCAGCTGTGGGACCCATGCACGTCGATTAAGGGTACTTTTAATTTGGCCAGTGTGGCTCTACTAAACTAAATCCACTTTCTGTGGAGTCTCTTTTGTGAGAAATAATTCATCATAAAAGTTTGGACTTAACAACTGTTATCACTAAACTTCCGTTGCTGTCGTATTCCGTATTTTCTTACAACACTTCGTGATGAGGTTTAGCGAAATCTTTAGTTTTTTTATAAAACGGAAGTGACAAAATAACAATCCATTTGATAGTGACTGCAGCCCACGGACACTTGCAACCAACTGCAAACAAAGAAAGCTACTGATGCGTTATCACCTCTGAGGACTACCAAGATGGTAAGCGTCACAGCTTGTAACTACTTACCCTTCACACCAGAACACAACAGTGCAAGCACTGTTATTTGACGGAAGAAATAGGAAGAGTAAAGAGTACCTTTATCCCACGGACATGTATACGTAGGTATATGGATGTGGAGGAAGCGAGAGAGGTGTGTCAGGATCGTGCCAAATGGAAGTCCGTAGTCTCTGCCTAC